AAACTTAATATAAATATAATTTATTTTTTCTAATTATATAGTATTTATACTATCTATTTCTATATCTTTTAAATAAATTAAATATAAAAAATAGTTTTAATATTATTATATTATAGAGTTAAGTCTATTTTCTACTTATTATTAATAAAGTTTCTTTTATATTAAATAATTTTATAATTTTTTATAATAGCTATAATATTTTTATTTATACTTTTATTTTACTAGATAAAAGCTAATAAATAATATTTTATTACTAATACTTTAACTTTTTCTTCTTCTAGCTAAGGGAATTTTTTATTTATATATTTTATAAATTCTAATTAATAATAAACCTTTTTATATAACTTTTTTTAAACTATATATAATTTAAATATAATAAAGTTATTATTTATACTAAATTTGCAATTTAAAATAAGTAAACTAGCCTTAATTATAAAGTAAGCAAAGTAGTAATATATTTATATTTTATTAGTTTTTAATTATAATAATTATTTATTTTCTAAGGACTTACTAGGTAGAAATACTAAGTTATAGCTATATTATATAAAATTTATAAAAGTAATAAAAAAAGCTTTAATCGCTATTAGCTTTATTTTAAGCTGCGCTTAGGTATATAAGTACCCTTAAAAATAATACTATTTATTAAAAAATAAAAATCTTCCTATTCCCTAGCTATTTTTTTATTTAATATTTTAGAAAGTTAAAATTATTATAAGCTTTATTTATTTAAGTATTATAAGAGAAATATATAATTTATTATATATTTTTATTTTTTAGCTTAATTATAGTTTTATATATAACTATATAAGATATAAAAAGCTTAATAAAAGATATTATATTAATAAGTTATTTTTTAGTATTATTATTTATAAGATATAAGCTAAATAATTTTAGTAAATTATTATACTTTTTATATTATATTAAATTAAATATTATTTAAATTAAAATAATATATATAAATATAAATTCCGCTAGTTCTCCCTTTTTTTTAGTTGTTAGCTAACTTAATAAGTATAGAAACTTCTATAATTATAAAAAAGTTTTATTAATTTATTAGTAAATTTAATAAATATTGAAAAGTAAACTTAAATAATTTTTTTCTATATTAAGAAGTTAGTATTTATTAAAAGTAAATACTTAGCTTAGCTTTTTTAATTTTTATTAAAAATAATAAATTATATATTCTATTCTACTTTTATTAAAGATTTTTATCTATTTAACCTTTTTTATCCTTTTTAGAAAATATATATAGTATTTAAAATTTCTTTATATATTTTTATACTTACTATATATATTATATTCTTATTTATAAGTTTATAATAACTAACTTAATAACTATTTTATAAATTATATTAATTTATATATTTTCTTAAGCTTTTTTAAATAAAAAAAGAAACCTTTATTAATAATTTTATTTAAATATTTAAGATTGCTTTTATTTAAAGCTAGACAAATTAAAGAAAATATTATTTAAAAAGAATATAAAAGATTTTAAGCGGAAAATAGTAAATATAAATGAAAATATTATTAAAAAAAATAATTTAAAATAGAGGGTAGTAAGTATAAATAAAAGTATAGTTAAAAAAGGGAATAATAACCTAAAATAGAAAATAAAAAATAAAAAAGGAGGTAAAGTTATAAAAAATAATAATAGCTTAAAAGATATTATAAGTATAAATAGCCTTAAGTAAGTATATTTTATATATATATATAATAATATATAATATTATTAATAATAATATAGATTATATTTATTAATATAAGCTTTTAATAAATATTTATTAAATAATACCTATTAGTTAAAATAACTAAGCTAAGTCTTAGAATAGTATAATTATATTAAATATTAAGTAAAAATTAATTAAAAGCTTATAAATTTACCTAAAAAATTAAGTATTAATAGTATAAAAAATTAATTAAAAAATAAATAAATCTTACTAAAATCTTAATAAATTTTATTTAAATTAGAATTAGGCTTTTATATATTAAAAAAAGCAAATAAATTTTATTAAAATTTTAATAAGTTTTATCTAAGTAAAAATTATACTTTTATATATTAGAAATAGTTTTATATAATATATATAATATATAATATAAATATATATAATATTAAATTATATTATAATTTCTATTACTAAAGTATTTAATACTATAATAGCTAAAAATAGGAAATTATTATAAATTTTCCTACTAACTACTAATACTAACTTTAATAAGTTTTTAATATATTATTCTACTAAGTTTAATAGGATAAATATTTTTATTTTATATATTATATAATTTTTTAATATAAAGTCTATATTTTAAATATTATTTTATTTAATTAACTTATATATATAACTTATATACCTATATTTTAATAGCTATTTATAAGTTATAACTAATATTTAAAACTTTAATATTACTATATTTTATTTAAAGATTATTTTTTAAGTTATAATTAAAAGTTATAAAATCAATATTTAAATTAAAAAATTCTAAGAAAACTTTAGCTACTTAAGTTATTTTTATAATATTTATTATTAATAGGTTTTAAGTAAAATTAATTTTATATAAGCTATAATATTATAATAAAGTTAGTTAAATTAATTTTTTTTTTAAAAACACTTAATTTATTGCTATTATTAAAAAAAAGTAAAAAACTAAGCTAAATTTATATTATAAAAAAATTAAATATATAAAAGTTAATTTTTTCTTTTTTTAACCCTTTTAAGCTAATTATTTAGCTTATAAAATATAGGCCTTATTTTATAAATTATTAATAATTTATATTCTATAAAGAACTTAAAAATAAAAGCGCTATTCTTATTAAATTAATCTACTATTTTATTATTTAAGGTTTTAAATCTTTTATTTATATTTTATTATTAATAAGCTAAAAATAGGATACTATAAATATACTATAATAAATATTATATTTTATTAATATATTTATTCCTTATACTTAGCCTAATAGGCTTAACTCCCTTTTTATAAATATAGTAATAATATTTATTTTATATAAATTACTATACTTTAAGCTTATTTAAGGTTTTATAAAGCTATTACTATAAAATAGCTTTTTTATATTATAATCTAGATTATGTCCCTCCTAGTTACATAGAAATAGCAGTATTAAGGGCTTAGTAAGTGTTGCAAACTACTTTTATATAAAGGTAAATATATATAGACTAGAAGGTCAATATATAGCAATATTTATTAGGTATATAAATAGGGTTTCCGCCTAAGATAAAGCTAGTTTTTTATCTTAGTTCTCTTTGTCTTTCCTAGGCTTTAAGAGCTGGTTTTTACCTTTAAATAGACTTTTAATATTAGAACTAAAATTATTACTATTACTACAATGTTTAGGTAATAATGTTATAAAACTAAACTTTATTAAGGGCTAGACAATAGCTAGTTCCTATCCCTAACCTTAGTTGCCGCTATATAGCTAAATAAAAAAATAATTATAGATAGTTTTTATATATTTAAAAAAAGCAATAAAAAAAGATAATAGCTATATTTAAAAGAAATAGCAACTAAATAATAGACTTAAGTAAAAGTAGATAAAGTTCCTAAGCTTAATAAATACTTAATATATTAACTAATAAAGAGATTAAATAAGTAAAATAATTAAATAAAAAGATAACTTATAAAAGGTAGGAAGCTAATATTATTTATAAATAAGTATATAAGATATTTAAACTAAATAAAAAAAAGTTAAAAATATACTTTATTAAAGTATAATTTAAGAAGAATTAAAGGAACTCAATATTTAGAGTATTAATACTTTTAAAAAATAGAATAATTTTATTAAAGATATAGGATATAATATTAAACTTTATACTAAATATAAATCTTTTTAAAAAGTATTTATATTAGTTAATCCTTTCTTTAAAAAGTACGAAAAAACAATATTTAATATTATAAAAATTATTAAATAGCTAAAAGAAACTTAGAAAAAGCTAGAAGAAGTAAAATAGGAAATTAATAATTTATAAACTTTTATTTAGAGTAAAGGAAGTCTTTTAAAACTTAAGTTAAATCTTTAGTATAGAACTATATTTAAGCGAAAAACAAAATATAAAATAATAGTAGCTAAAGTTATATTAAGCTATTATAAAAAAATTATTAATTTTAAATACTTTATAGCAATACTAGATAGTAAAGTTATTTATTAATTATAGAGGAGCTTATTACTAGATAAGCTTATTTATAATATAAATAGTTACCCTAGTATAAATAATTAAATTAAGTATATTAAAAGTTAGTTAAGTAGTAATATACTTAATTATACTACTATTTTTTTAGATAATAAATATAATAATTCTATTTCTTTTATTATATTAATAAAACTACTTAAGTATCTTAATAACTTATATTGCAACTATAACTATATTAATACTATAAAACGAAAGTATATTACTTTTAAATAAAATACTTATCTTTTCTAAGCCTTCTATATAAAATTTAGATAAATAGTATATAAGTTAAAAAAATACTAAATTAATAAAAAGATAATTTAAAGGAGTATTTATTACTATAATTTATAGATATATTAATTACTAATTACTTAGACTTGCTTAAGGAAATAGCAATCTTTTTGTCATGGATCAAAATGAGAGCAGGATGGGATGTCCCGATTAGGCTTAGCTTAGCCCTACCCGGCTTGGCATGAGGCCCTACTTCCATTACAATCCTTAAATAGCTTTTAATTAATCTATTATCAACCAACTACATTGCATATATTGCTTATTAAGGTCTCTACGCACTGCGTTTCCTTACAAATGGTAGCAACACCAAAAGATCAGGTGTCGTCATTGTCCTACTGAACATTAGTGTCCGGAAACGGCCCTAGCACCTCAGTCAGACTATTACTGAAAAATCGTCTATTCCCGACCCTTTTACTAGGCTAGTCGCACCAAAAAACTATAGAGAAACGAGCAACCCTAGCCAGACTGCGCCCTACTCCTTCTCCTCCTCTTCCTCCAGCAGTAACCGACCAATCAGAAGCCCCTACTATGAACGATCTTATGCAAATGATGCAAATGATGGAAGTCAGGATGTCAGAACAGCTAGACAGACAGCTTGGACCAATCAAAGACAAGCTAGAAAAGCTAGAATCCAAGATACTAAGACAGCGATCAGGTTCCCAAGGCCAAACGCATACAAAAGAGACGGAGAAAACGGCTACAATCACTCCTACTCCTCCTCCAAGCTTACCGCTTCAAAACGCGTCCTCCCAAGCCAAAACGCATACAAAAGAGACGGAGAAACAGGCTACACATGTATCGCTTAAAGCCACGGTTTCTGACCAATCAGAAGACGATCAAGAGCTCTCAAATCAGCTTGCAAAAGGACAACTTGCAGCCACGGTTTCTGACCAATCAGATAAAGACGTTTTGCAAGACAATATGGACGAACGGTCAAAACAGCCTCCTCCACACTATGCATACAAGCCCTCACAGCATATGCATCAACAAGCTCCCTCCTCGCGTCTTTACAAGCCAATTTTCTACTACTGCTGCGCCTCCGTAGATCGCGTTCTCGCTCAAGGAGTGATCTACGTCATTTTCAACATGGTTTTTTTGACATGCAGGCTTGCACGCCTTGGAATCGGCTAGCTTTCTACGCTTTAAGTGGCTCCTAGCCAATCGATTGCTTTTCCATCAGTTCTGAACGATTTGAGCCACGGTTTTTTAACTACTCGGCTATTCTGCACAATCTTCCAGTTCGGTCAAAACGGCGATTTCCTACGTCCAACTTTCTATATTCCTTTTCAACCAATCAGCTTCCGCTTGCTGTCGCTCCTTCTATGCGTTCAGACGCCCCTCCGACGTAATCCTTAGCCTGATTGGCCCAACCTTGCTGTCGCTGCAGCCCCTTACGAAAACAAGCTTTTCCCAACATAACAAGATCAAATCTCGGCCAAAACTCGACCAAATCTTGACCAATTTGAGCTGGGATAACTTCTTTTAAGAGCTGGGACACAGATAAACCTACATCCATGACAAGGACGTTATTTTTTGTTGTTTTTGGTGGCATATTGTCATAGATCAAAATGAGAGCAGGATGGGATGTCCCGATTAGGCTTAGCTCAGCCCTACCCGGCTTGGCACGAGGCCCTACTTCTATTACAATCCTTAGATAGCTTTTAATTAATCTATTATCAACCAACCACATTGTATATATTGCTTATTAAGGTCTCTACGCACTGCGTTTCCTTACACTTTTTTAAGAAAATAAATAATAAAATATATAAGTATAATAAGCGCTTTTTAGTTAAAACTTATACTTTATTATTATAAGGACTTATATTTTATAATTACTTTTCTAGACTAGTAGTTAATTTCTTAAAACTATTTATTAAAATAAAATTATATATTGTTTTTATAAAATAGGATCTCTCTTAGGTAATTTAAGCTAAGAAGGATAGGAATGCTAGAAACTATTTTCTTTATTATAAGCTTAGTTATACTACTAAAGAATATAAATAAAGAGGATCTTTCTATAATCCTACTGCTAAAATTTAGGAAATTAACTTAGAAAATAAAAAATATTAAGAAATATTTAAGGGAAAAAAAAACAATAAGCTTAAATAAACAGAAACTTAAAAGCTTCTTCTAAAAATATAGATAGAAGTAAAGAAGTTATAATTTTATTATTAGCTATTCTTTTATATTAGTATTTTAACCTTTTTATACTCAAACTACTTATAGAAGTTTATATATTAAGTATTATATAAAACGAAATTAAATATAATAAATTAATAGATACTAATATATTAGGCTATGCTTTTATTAATTTATACTTCATATAAAAACTAATAAATTAGTTTTTAATTATTACTATTTTATTATTTAAACTAAAATTAATAAAAGCTTTTAATAGAATAGATCAGAAACCTATTATATATAAACTATATTTATTATTTATAATTTAAAGAAAAATATCCTTTTTAGTATTATTTTTAATTATAAAGCTTAGTAATTACTTTTTAATTATTAGATTCCTATAGATAAAAATAAATTAAATATTTATTAATTATTTTAAAAGCAGAGTACAATTTCTGCTAAAAGGAATAAAATAGCTAACTATTAGTAAAATACTAATATAATAATAATTCTTTACTATCGGAAAATTATTAGAATTATAAAGGACTTTTTCTATAGTACTTTTACTAAAACTAAAAAAGTATTTAAAAGACTTATAGAAAAGGAATTATTTAAAAGTCTATAATTATAGAAGCTTCTATATTGCTAAAAATAATATTATAACTAAAATTAATTTTAAAATAATTAATAATAGAAAAAAATATAATACCTAAAGATAGCTTTAATATTATAGTAATTAAAGCAATACTATTTTTTTTTAATTAGAATAAAAAATAAATAAAAAGATAATAAATACTATAAAATATTTATATTAAATATTGATTATTTAATTAAAATAATAAAACTATATTTAAAAACTCTAATAGAATTAAATAAAATAGCTTTAGCCTTAATAAGGGAAAAGCTTAAAGCTAAAATACTAAAATAGTTATATAATATATTAGAAGTTTTTAATAAGAAAAAAAGCTAGCTAGCTACTACTTTACTAGAATTATAATTATAAAATTAAGTTAACTAATCCTATTAAAGGACTTTCTAAAAGTAAGCTTTATAATCTAAGTTATTTTAAACTATAAAAATTAAAGGAATATATTTAAAAATACTTTGTAAAAGGATTTATTATACTTTTAAAAGTATTTTATATATTATTAATCATATTTATATTTAAAAAAGACAGATTATTAAGAATATATATTAATTACTAGAAATTAAATAAGATTATTAAAAAGAATAATTATCTACTTTTTTTAATTAATAAAATAATAGCTAAAGTAGCTAGATATAAATATCTTATAAAGATTAATATTATTTTAGCTTTTAATAAAATATATATAGATCTAGATAATAAAAATTATATTTCTTTTATAACTTATTTTAGAATACATAAATATAAAATATTACTTTTTAAATTATTTAATAAACTAGCTACTTAGCAGGGCTATATTAATAATATTTTACTAAAATATTTAATAAACTTTTATTAAGTATATATAAATAATATCCTTATTTATAATAAAACTTTAAAAGAATATAAAAAGTATATTTAAAGTATCCTTATAAAACTAAATACTACTAGGTTATAAACAAATATTAATAAATATAAATTCAATATATAAAAAACTAAATTCCTTAGTATTATTATTAGTAGTAATAGTATTTATATAGATCCTAATAAAATCACTACTATCTAAGAGTAAATAACTCTTATAACTATTAAATAGGTATAAAGCTTTTTAAGCTTTTGTAATTTCTATTAACATTTTATATATAATTTTAATAGGATAGCTTAAGCTTTAAATATATTAATAAAAAAAGATTTAAAGTTTAAATAAATAGAGCTTAAAGATATAGCTTTTAATAAACTTAAAAAACAAGTTATAGAAGCCCTAGTATTATAATATTTTAACTTAAGTTTAGAATTAATTATTAAAACTAATTTTTTAAATTATATTAATAAAAAAATCCTTTCCTAAAAAAATATTAATAAGTATATCTACCCTATAGCATTCTATAGTAAGAATTTTAATTTAGCTAAATATAATTATAATATCTATAATAAAAAATTAATAGCTATTATTAGAGTATTTAAATTCTAAAAACCTAAACTAGAAAAGATAGAGATTCTAATTAAAATCTTTATTAATTATAAAAATTTAAAGTACTTTATAGTTAATAAAAAGCTATTTTAAAAACAAGCTAAATAAGCTAAAATACTTGCAAATTATAATTTTAAAATTAAGTATTAAACTAGAAAGAATAATACTAAAGCTAATATATTAATTTAATAAAGCTATAAAAATTAGGCTAAAAAAATAATATTCGAGTTTTATTACTAAAAAAATACTTTAATTTGTCTTTTCTATAGCTTAGGGAAAAACTTAAAAATAAGTCCCTCTATTAGATTATAAAGATACTAATTTTAAATAGTATTATATTACTATTTATAATAGTACTACTAAAGATAAGGATATAAACCTTAAAAAAGCTAGTACTAAAAGGAAAGTCTTTTACTAGAAAAATAAATTATAGATTCTATTAATATAAATATTTATTTTAGTTAAAAAGGTCTATAATTAAGCTTTTACTAGTTACTTAAAAGTTGAAAAAATAATTAAACTATTTTAATAATATTACTATTAGCTAGGAATAATAAAAATAGTAAAAATATATATTACTAATTATTATATCTATAAAAGAAGCAAGTACTTTTAAGATAAATAATATAGCTTATTATATTATTTATTTATTTTTTAATAATAATAGAAAATAATTAGTATTAATTTTATTATTAGCTTTTTAGAATATAATAAAATAAATAGTATTTATATTATTATTAATTTCCTAATTAAAGACTAAGAATATATACTAATTACCTATAGTAAAGATAAGATTTCTATAGAAAAAATAGTTACTATTTTTATTAGATATATTATTTTTTATTATAGATTACTAGATATAATAATTTTAGATTAAAAGGGATAGTTTATTTCTAATCTATAGAAATTAATATATAAAAGACTAAAAATTAATAGTAGGCTTTTAATAGCTTATTATTTTAAAACTAATAAATAAATAAAATAAATAAACTAGGAAATTAAAATTTATCTTTAGATATTTATTAATGTTTATTAGGATAATTAGGTTGATTTCCTACCTATAGTAAAGTTTATTTATATTAATATAGATTCTATAGCTATAGGTATATTATTAGTCTTTGCTTTTAATAGCTTTTATCTATAAATAAGCTTTTCCTTAGATAATACTATATATATTAATCTTTATAGCTGTTTATAAATAGCCTATATAGAGGATATTTCAATAAAAATAAAAGCTATTATTAAAAAATATTAAAATTATATTACTAAAGCTTAGGAACAAATAATAATTTAAGCTAATCGCTATAAATAGGATATAGAATATAAAATAAATAACTATATCTAGCTAAAAATAGATAATCTTAAAACTACTTAAGCTAATAAAAAACTAGATTATAAGTAAATTAATCTTTTTAAAATACTTTATAAAATTAGATACTTATATAAGCTAAACCTACTTTTTTTAATAAAATATAGCAAAGTATTTTATATAAAACTTTTAAAAAAAGATTTTAATAATCTGCTTTTTAAATAAATTAACCTAGAGCTTAAATTTATTATTATTAATAATAATAAAAAAATATAGTATAAAGTATATATTATAGTTTTATTATAGTTATAATATATTATAATATTATATTAAGTAGGAGAATATTAAGTATAATAATTAGTAGTATAATATATATAGCTTTAATTATTTATTTAAGCTAATAGTAGAGTTCTATTATTGTTACCCTATAATTATAAGTAGTTTTAATAAACTACTTTACTATTATATAGGATGCTTTTAAAAATTATAGTATTTTAATTTATATTATTTTAATTATATATATATATTATTTATTTTATTAAT